GCAAATCTGCCATGAGATGACAAAGTGTAGTTTCTCTTTATTCCCTTTACCATTATCTTCTCACTCTCAAAGCATCTCACAGTTAAAGTTGGAGTTGGAGTGGAAGAACTCGAGTGTCCTGCACAGAGCCCTGACCTCAACCCCACTGAACACCTTTGGGATGAACTGGAACACCGACTGCACCCCAGACCTCCTCACCCAACATCAGCGCCTGATCTCACTAATGCTCTTGTAGCTGAATGAACACAAATCCCCACAGCCACGTTCCAAAAGCACACACACACACACACACACACACAAAATATATTATATATGTATATATATTGTAAGTATATATGGATAAAAGTAGATGAAAGTTGCGAGTGTTGCTCGCAAACGATTCGGTTACTTTCGATTCTTTCGCTCTTCGAGGTGAAGGAGTTTTATCTTTATTTTTATTTTTTTCTCAAATGAGCTGTTATTTCTCATAGAAGCCTGTGATTGGATGGAGGAACTTGACTGAACTCTGTACTGGCCAATCCTTAGGACGAAACGAATGAATCAAATGCGCAATGAATCAATCCTAAATGACTCAGTATGTGTGCAACTCGCCGTTATGATGAACCTGAGCCAGACACCAGGAACCGGAAATAGTGCCCTCTGACGCGGACTGAGGACCTGAGCGAGGATAAACCATTAAAATGCCTTTAACTGTACTGCTGGTTACTGTGAAATAAAATAAAAATAGCTCACTGGAGAAAATAAAAGTGTTAACAACCAAACTACATCAGCTCACTCTTAATTCAAAAGAAAATTGTATATTATATTAATATTATGTGTGCAGCCTTATTGGCAATAAAAATAAAAAATAAAAATAAGTACATGATATGCCAGAACTCCGTTAGCTTCACACGGTTGAACAAAGAGTGGACTAATTCCCTTTCTTTAACATTTAATAAGTGAAGGGATAAAACAGACATACCTGTAACACCTGAAACACTTCATCAAATCAACCGGTGCACACTAGCACTAACCGCGAGAACTCAATCTTTTAGCAGGCTCATATACTGAAATGATTCAATGATTAATCCTTAAAGATTCATCTCCCCACTTGGGAAGTAAACAACACAGTCTAACCTGGATTACTTCTCTATATGTTTTGCTATTCAGCACACATTCTCATACACATTAACATCTGAAATGTAATTACCTCTGGGGCAGATTATCCTCCAGTGTCTTCCTCAATCAAACCGCACAGTCTGTTATTCTTCTTCATTATTGCACCTTCATCTCCTAAAGGTCTCCTTATCACGTTAATAATCCCCAGCGTACAGCACCGTCCCGTTACCAATTCCCATAATTCCCTCATTTTTGTCCGTTTGTGTTTACACCTCTCCCAGCTCTGGAGCCTGTGTACTTGTGCAGAGAGAGAACGATGACGCACTTATGATCACGTGACTCCCTGACCGCCTGCATGCCTTACTGAAGGAAGTTAGTATGACACTCAGCATAGTACTGATCGAGAAAAGTGGTGTGGTGTACATAAATACTGTATCATAATGCAGAGCCTTTAGAAATGACCACTTCGTAATAACTGGAGAAATAAATATGTCCCAGGTGAGTGGTGTTGCAGTGGTTAAGGCATTGCACTAATGATTAGGAAGGTTGTGAGTTTGAATCCCAGCACCACAACAACAGTTGGGTCCTCGCCCAAGACCCTTAACCCCATACTCAGTTATAGTTTGTCTCAAATGTGGAGAAAAGCATCACCCAAATAAATGTGGTAGAATGTAAACAAAATAATAATAATAATAATAGATCAGGTAAATGAGTGTATGAGCTCTACACAGGCTAAATGAGCACATTACAGTGATACAGAGAGGGAGACTGCAAATCTGATTTAGCCTATAGAACAGATCATGTATCTCATTTTACACTTTATTTCATTACACACGTGGCCCAAAGGGAATGGTGACCAACCCCCTTAGTGAGAACTAGGTCATATGCAGATCCTTCATCCTTATACGACCCCCAAACAATAATCCTAACTGAAATGAGACCTGACAGATAATGACAATTACAAATGATAAACTTAAATCCTAACTTTAATGTGACGTATCTGATAACAGTATCCTTATAATATCATTTGAAAAAGAAAATAATCTAACTAGGGATATGTTTCAGTTATGTTTTGATCATAAGAGTTTCTAGGGCTGCCAGTAACTGTTGCACGTACTGTTTTGTATTTAAAAAAAACTGTAAAAAAAAAAAAAAAAAAAAAAAAAAAAAAAAAAAAAAAAAAAAAAAAAAAGTACTGTAAAAAAAAATAGCAATAATAATAATAATAATAATAATAATAATAATAATAATAATAATAATAATACATGGTGTAAAAGGTAAGCTCTTTAACTTTAGGTCACTTTAGTAGAAGAATGAGAATAAATCAAGATTGACTGAGACTATCCAGATGCAGTTACACTGTTGCATCACAGGATGTCAGTAAAACATAAGATTTTTAAGTAAATAATATACAAAATATTGATACAATTTACAATAATGTTTTGTACAGTAATTTAACTTACAATAAATAGATGAACTAGATTATGTATTAATGCCAAGTTTATTTGATCTAGTTATTGTAATTTAACAAGAAAGTAATTCATAGCTGATTAATTCATTATGTGATCCTGATGGTTACCGTAAAACCTCATATACACGTCCTTCAGGATTCTTCAGTAGGCTACAGTAACTGAAGATGGTGTTCATGTGCCTTGTGTAATATTCTGTATGAACCTGCACTCAATCATCCCAAATATAAACATGAACTCCTTCGATAGCTCAGTTGGTAGAGCGGAGGACTGTAGGTGTGTAAAATGGTCATCCTTAGGTCGCTGGTTCGAATCCGGCTCGAAGGACTGTTTTTATTCTGTGAGCTGAAAGAGTGTTTAGTGGAAACCCTTAAAAGAAATAAGAGAAATATGCCACACAAGGCACAAGGTGATTTTGACGCTGACTTGTGTCTCAGATCTGAGCAGTGAGGTGGATCACACACACACACACAATATATTAGTGAGAGTGGAGAACTGAATCAAGTGAACAGAAAGAAAAAAAAGATCAGAAGCACTGAGACACGTGCACTTTTACTTTTCACTCCTTCTGCTCATGAGTTAAAGTTAAAGTTTGCTATTTTGGGGTCAGAAAGAAGACATTATGTTACACTATAGGGTTATGATTATTCACACTCAACCAATTCCCTTCCTTCTGTAAACACAGACCCTCATCTGACTTGAAGTATAAAACAAACAATTAAAAAAAAAAAAAGTTTAATTGGACTGTTGCTTTCTATTTTTTTTCTTTGGTGCTGCTGCTGTTTGGAAAAGTCTCTTCAAATGGAGGAAAGTGTTACGCCCCATATATATATATATATATATATATATATATATATATATATATATATATATATATGTGTGTGTGTGTGTGTGTGTGTCGGAGTTTAAATAATGTTAGTTAAATTGATGTATAAATTGGGAAAAGTCGCCATTGGTTGTGCGCTGCTTCTGTTCACGGTCACTATATTAGTGGCGGTGCTGCGTAAAGGCAGCAGTTTCACGATGACTCGCTGCTGGTAAGCTGCAATGATGATCGCTCTGTCTTATTAACCAAGTTTGAATTGTTTTCAAGGGCAAAGCTGAACTTTTATATGACACCCAAGTTTACTAGTTCTGTCTGTCAGCTCCTAGTTCTGTTAGTACAATCAAATGTGTTATTTGTGATGATAAAACGAGGTGTGTGTGTACTGGCCTGCTTGTAAACACTGAAACTCTGTTTAGTTCATTTAAGACTGTCATGCATCATCAATGATCAGCAATCTAATCAACATATGGTCCTGTTTATCCCAGGTATGTGTTTTATTCGGTTTTTGTCATGTTCTGTGTGTAAATCGTTAGCCGCTAGCATGAGCACACGTGCTGCACACTCGCACGTGCTGAACTGTGTGTTGCGTTTTCCTTTCTGTCTTTCTTCTATACAAAATATGTAAAATATCGGTGACTTGAGTTTATAGATTCACTACATTCATTTGATTTAATGAGAACTGTGAAGAAAAGATACTGTTTTGTATTTTTGTCAGATTTTTGTCCACTATATGTTCACGATCACTTTAGGAAAAAGTAATCGGCAGCAGTTTCACGATGATCAGCAATCTAATCATCATATGGTCCTGTTTATCCCAGGACAATAAAAGAAGCCTTGAGTGACCAAGTGTTCATCATTCCACCATCACCAACACAGTCACACACACACACACACACAAACTCGATAGAGAACCCAATTAAACAAATTACACAAAAACATTATAGATTTTACATTTATTTATTGTGCAAAATTATCCAGCTTTAAATATCTTTGTCTCAAATAGTATGCAAACTTTTACACTCAAGTAATGTGGGTAACCCTCTTGAGTAGCAATGGCTTCAGCCAAATGTTTCTGG